CTCTCTCTCTCTCTTTCCCTCTCCCCTGCTCCTCCCACTCTCTCTCTCTCTCTCTTCCTCTCTCCTCTCTCCCTCTTTCTCTGTCCTCTTCTGCTCTGGTGGGCCACACATGGTTCGCACACGCTCCACATTCTGCTTGAACACAAACACTCTCTTTCCTGTAAGAAATCTGCAGCTCCAGTGTGGGGTTCAACATTTTACTGCGTCCAAAAACATTTTCTTTTATTGACCGTCACTTGATTGTTCAGTGAAGAAAAGCGAGCTATAAAAAGAAAACATGTTGGTATTTGTTTGTAGTAGTATTTGTAGTACAATGGTGCGTGTAATGTGACATAACACTTTAAAAATCTTTGCAAATCCTCTCTTGGATCCCACAACAAAGTCCAGATGCATCTCCCTCCTCCCTCCCTCCATCTCTCTCTCTCTGCTCCCTCTCTTCTTCTCTGTAATCTCTCCCTCTCTTTACCCGCTCTCTCTCCCTCTTTTACCCCCCTATTCCTTCCTTCTTTCTCTCTATCCCTTTTGTATTCCCTTCTCCCTTTTCCTCTCATCGCTTTGAAACTTTATCTTCTCCTCAACCTCTCTTTTTTCTCTGCAATTTCTCTCCCTCTCTCTAAGCTCCCTTTTTCCTTCTCTCACTCTCTGCACCTCCTCTCTCTTCCTTTTTAAACCCCCCTGTCCTCCTCCCTCTCTCTCTCTCCATCTTATTTCCCCTTCTCCCTCTTTCTCTCTCTCATCACCTCATCTCTTTGAATCACTTTCTTCTCCCCAGCCTCTCGTTTTCTCTGCAATTTCTCTCTCTCTCAGCTCTCTTTCTCCTTCTCTCCCTCTCTGCTCTCCTCCCTCTCTCTCTCGTTTTCCCTTCTGCCTCTTCTCTTCTCTCTCATCACCCCTCTCTCTTTTAAGCCTTTTCTCCTCCTCAGCCTCTCTTTCTCTCAGTAACTCTCTCTCTTTCATTTCTTCTCTCCCTCCGTCTCTCAGCTCTCTTTCTCCTTCTCTTTCTGTATTCACTCTTCCTCCCTCTTTAAAGCCCTGCTCTTCTCTCTCTCCCTCTTATTTCCCCTTCTCCCTCTTTCTTTCTCTCATCACCTCATCTCTTTGAATCATTTTCTTCTCCTCAGCCTCTCTTTTTCTCTGCAGTTTCTCTCTCTCTCCCTCTCTCTCTGCTCCCTTTCTCCTTTTCTCACTCTCTGCCATGCTTGCTCCCTCTTCTACCTCTTCTCGTCTCTTTCATCCCCCTCTCTTTTAATCCTTTTCTCCTCCTCGGTCTCTCTTTCTCTGAGTAACTTTCGCTCTCCCGTTTCTTCTCTCACTCCGTCTCTCTCAGCTCTTTCTCCTTCAGTCACTCTCTATACCTCTCTCTCTCCCTCTTATTTCCCCTTCTCCCTCTTTCTCTCTCTCTTCACCTGATCTCTTTGAATTGTTTTCTTCTCCTCAGCCCCCTTTTTCTCACTAACTCTCTATCCAATTTCTTCTCTCACTCCGTCTCTCTCAGATCTCTTTCTTCTTCTCTCTCTCTCTCTGTACCCCCTTTCTCTTTTAACTCCCTTCACCCTTTTCTCCTCCTCAGCCTCCTCTTTCTCTCCCATTTCTTCTCTCACTCTGCATCTCTCAGCTCTTTTCCTCCTTCAGTCACTCTCTGTACTTGCTCTCTCTCCCTCTTTAACCCCCCGTCTTTCTCCTTCTCTCACTCTTTGTAACTCTCTCCCTCCCTCCCTCCCTGCCCTCCTCCCTCTCTCTCCCTCTTGTTTCCCCTTCTCCCTCTTTCTCTCTCTCATCACCTCATCTCTTTGAATCCTTTTCTCCTCCTCAGCCCTACCTCTCTCAATAACTCTCTCTCCCATTTTGTCTCTCTCTCAGCTCTTTTCCTCCTTCTCTCTCTCTCTGTACCCCTTCTCTTTCCATCTTCCATCCCCGCCTTCCTTCCTCTCTCTCATAACCCCTCTCTTTTGATCATTTTCTCCTCCTCAGCCCTCTCTTCTCTCAGTAACTCTTTCTCTCCATCTCTCTCAGCTCTCTTTCTCCTCCCCTTACTCTCTGTACTTGCTCTCTCCCTCTTTAACCTCCCGTCTTTCTCCCTCTCTCTCCCTCTTATTACGCCTTCTCCCTCTTTCTCTTTCTCTCATCTCCCTTTCTCTTTTAATCCTTTTCTCCACCTCAGCCCCTCTTTCTCTCAGTAGCTTCCTCTCTCCCATTTCTTCTCTCACTTTGTCTCTCTCAGCTCCCTTTCTCCTTCTCTCTCTCTGTACCAATTCTTTTTTCCCTCTCTTTCCCTCCTCCGCTCTCTCATCACCCCTCTCTTTTAATCTTTTTCTCCTCCTCAGCCCCCCTTTTCTCTCAGTAACTCTCTCTCCATCTCTCTCAGCTCTCTTTCTCCTTCTCTCTCTCTCTGTACCAATTCTCTTTTCCCTCTCATCCCCCTCTCTTTTAATCCTTTTCTCCTCCTCAGCCTCCTTTTTCTCTCAGTAACTCTCTCTTTCTCCTTCCCTCACTCTCTGTACTGCTTCTCTCTCTCTTTAACCCCCTGCCCTCCTCCCTCTCCCTCTCTCCTTCTTGTTCCCCCTCTCCTTTCTTCGGGGCTCTCTCATTTCTTGGACGGTTTTCATTGGCCGCTCTGTGTGTGTTCCCGAGGCCCAGACAGGAAGGAAGAGAGTGGGCCGACTGCTCCCCTCCAGAACCCAGAACACGCTTTTGTTTGGAGCCTTTTTTTGTTACACGTTTTCTTTTACTCGTCCTTTAAGAAACTGTAGAATCGGTGATTAATACTTCCTCCTCTTGTGACGTTCCAGTGACATCAAGAGTGGCTAAATAAACATACAGATATTAATAGCGGGTTACGTGACGATTGTTTTTACAGTAATCACAGAGGACCGGAGAGACTTGTAACTTGGACTTCCAGGAACAAATGTCGAGCTTTGGGAAAATATTTGAATGTTAAAGGTCAAGTTATTCACCAAATAACTGATTTAAATTTGAATATTTTCCGCGAAATTACTTGTCAAATGTGAGTCAATGGTCATGACAGAGAAAGCTCAGTTCTGTTCTTAGGATTTGGTACTTTGCACAGTTCACAGAATTAATAATAATAATAGTAGTAGTAGCAGCAGTAGGAGTAGTAGTACCGGTAATAGTAAAGTATGTGCTGTTTGTGATATGTAGAATTCTGAGGATCCAACTACATGACATGATACTATATTTTAATAGATATTTTTTTCAGACCAATGCAGTCAATTTTCAAGTGTCAAATTAATGTCTAAAGAGTAAGAATTTAGTGTATATGGTCCTTATCTGTACGGAGTAAGATGTACTCTAGCTTCAGAGGAAGAATATTCTGTGTCAAATGTAGTCTTTTAGAATAAGTTAATAACACTGAGTAGGGTTTTCAGAATTTTGGCCTGGTGGATTATTTATTATTTATTATTTACTCTGTTAGACATAGACTTAGGGAAACTTTACTAATACACAATGGAAATTACTGTAGCTCACACATCACAATATATTAGAATAACAAAGAGTGAAAAAAAGAGAAAATATAAATGGTAATAATAAATTCTAAATTCTGTTGCAATACCAATGATGACATGTGATATGTCTGCTCAGCTGCTTTGAACAGTTTTTTGCGGTGTTTTTCTAGTGGTGGAGACAGGACGTCAGCGCCAGCTTGTGAAGTATACCCCTAGTAGACCCTTGTGAGTTTTTAGTCATTAGTTAGACTGTTACCTCATCAAAAACATAGAGCTGATTCATTCATTCATTTACACATACCTGAGTATGCAGACGCTGCAACTTCGGTAGTGATGCGGTTGGACCGGACCGCCCCACAACGGTCCGATACAGTCCAGACGGTTGTGGTGAAGAGGGAGCTGAGCCAAAAGGCAAAGCTCTTGATTTACTGGTCAATCTTCGGTCCCTCAACGATGGTCATGAGCTCTGAGTAATGACTGAAAGGACAAGATCGCAGATACAAGCAGTTGAAATGAGTTTCCTCCCTTAGAGATAGGGTGAGGAGCTCAGTCACACGGGAGGAGCTCGGAGTAGAGCCGCTGCTCCTCCACGTAGAGAGGAGCCAGCTGAGGTGGCATCTGTTCCCACAGGGAGGAGACCCCGGGGAAGACCCAGGACACGCTGGAGGCTGGCCTGGGAATGGCTCAGGGTCCCCCCGAAGGAGCTGGAGGACGTGTCTGGGATGGAGGAAATCTGGGAGTCCCTGCTTAGACTGCTGCCCCCGCAACCTGGCCCCGGATAAGTGGAAGAAAATGGATGGATGGATGGATATCTGAGTATCCCTTTTTTATTAGTCTGTCTATCTGTGAAGCTCAAAATGCTCTGCTGTGATGTCATAAAGAGGTAGTTTTCAAGTAAACAGCTCCTTTTACCTTTTGATTAGAAGAGACTGGCAGTTCCAGGGCTGAAATTATTAAAATGATTGTAGTGTAGATGTGGAGTTTGAGAACACAATAGAGCACTTCCTGTATTACCACATGACATTACAAAGTGGAACAGAGTGATTCCAGTTTGAGAAAAGAACTCAGCCTTAATATGCAGAGTTTGTGTGTGAATGAAACAAAACAAAACTCCAGGTCTGTTTTTGATGAGGAAACAACACTATAACATAGATCAGAAAACAGCATCATATGGGTCCTTTAAATCATGGGCCTTTTCTTCTGACTTTGTTTTGGTGATCGATCTAAATGTGAGCTCATGTCAAAGTAAGAATCCTCCTCTGAGTGAATTATGAACGACTGAACTGTACACGATCTGAACGCCTCCTCTGAGGGACGTAAAGCCAGGACAGGGCCAGTATCTCACCCCACCTCCTCTCTTTCACTCTGTCTTTCTCACCCCCCCCAGCCCTCGCTTCTTTTCCCTCTCTCTTATTCTCACGTTTCTTTCACCCTCCCTTTTCTGTGTCTAGGTTAAACAAGAGTAAATGGTCCAAGAGAATGGAACTTTTTTTTTATTTTTTTATTAAGGAAAGAGTAAAAAACATGTAGGGATAAGAACAGGCACTTAAAATAGACTACTTCATTTCTGGAGTTCACCAGTTCAAGTACAAGTTTTGAAGATAAGTTATAAGGCTGAAACATGCCTCTTTGAGAGAAAAAGGTATAAAGGATTATTCTCTCTTCACAAAAAATAATTACAGTCTCAGTGCTAATTAAATAAAAAAACATTTGGTGTGGAAAGGAAAATCATAACTTAGAACAAAACTAAACTAGACTAGGCACTCCTGACCTATAGGTACTCCTTCCAAAATGCATAATCCATAACAGTCGATTTTCAGTATTTATTTCCTGAACAGAAACTACACAGGAAAACTTGGTCAGTATTCTTCTTTCAAAGTCTGAACCAAGCCACATGTTTTACTGACACAAGACTCACTGTAGACCTCTCAATTCAAAATATCTAAGTTTATCACTGATGATAAGAAATGACTGAATTATGTAGGACTAGCATACAAAATTTGAGAGTTTCTTCTTAAAAAGGGGGTATTGCATTTCTATGGGGTATTAGAATATTTTTAGATCACCATGTTACCTTTTATAGCTTTGCAAACAATAAATGTAGCGTATTGTTTTGTATCCTGCTTTTGTATATTTATGGAAACTGCCCTGTGGGAGCATGGGTGACGTCGGCTTGTGGGCTGAACATTGGACAGACCATAAAGAGGGCTCAAAGAGGGCCCAGGAGAGATCACTAGATTACTCAAACATGTATGAATGACAGATCAAACCTCTTCAGGCATGTTTTTGATGAGGAATAGTTATAACAGTAGAAAGCTCAAAAATCTAGATTTTGTGTAATACCCCCACTTTAATGTGCATCTCTCATACAGAAATGCAGATTCAAACTCAAATGTGTTTTACTTTTGCATGTGTCTCTATTAGCACTCACAAAAACGCAGAGCTACAGTGATAAACAGCAGCCGCTCCTTCGTCAGCACAAACCTGAGACTGCTCTCTCAGCACCAAGCTAACGGCTTCTACAGGTGTGTGCCGCCTCCTGGACTAAAGAAGCACTGAAACATGCACCATTATAAGGCTTTTCAGGTGAGAGCAGACCAGGGGAAGAAGCAAACATCTAAAACATAAAGTCTGACCTAGGTCAATATGAGAACATCTCTTTATCATTACATTTGTTTGTGTGGTTGGGATACATCAGGCTTAATGCCGTTTCTGCTCAAAGTTGGTGCATTTCAAGACAGAAAAAATGTCAAAAATATATAAAATTCCATCTACGGGTTTCAGAATGATGAAAATTGCTATAACACCTAATTTAACAATATTATATCTTTTGAATGGGCCGTCATACTTAAAAATGGTACCATATAAGAGGAAGGTGAAACCCATGTTACTGAATCTCCAAAACTGTAGGCACAACTTTTCACATAGGGGGTCCACTACCATGGAAATGTTATAGCTTTGCCTGGAATGTTCCACAGTATGGAATTAAGCTAATTTAATTCAATTACAAATGCATTTATTGCCAACAATACTTTGAAAAAGGTCTAACTTCTCCACATATTCAACATGAAACTTGGACTGGTGGCACCACCTGCTTGTCTCCATGGAAATATGTTCCATGCTATACTGTGGAACATCAATAACAATCAATAACATCCCACAGGGACAAGCAGGTGGCAAACCTCAACCAGAAAAAGTTACATAGTGCATATTTTCTTTGATTTGAGGAAGTGCTAAGGTTTGTATGTGATATTTACTTTGAATCAAATTGAGTAGCAAGCAAAGCCTAAGTAGTCTGTCCTCCTCCTCCTGTCCCTCCATTTTTATTGTTCACTCATGCAAAACAGTGGAATTTGGCTCTTGTATTCATATAACAACCATTTTGTTCAACCTAGGAAGGAAAAAACTGGCTGTCTAGTTGAAACCTTTGATAGGCAACACTGAATAGTTTCCATGTGATCAAACTGTAATACAGAGACACTGGTCTGTCCTCCGAAATAGCTTCCATTTAATTAATTTACATAGATTATGCCTTAAAGGTTTTCACATTTATGGCATTTCGCTCTTACATCTACTAGTATATTGTTCAACAAATGAAAGGAAAGAGTCTGGTCACCTCGACTCTATAGTCTCAGTAGTCTCTTCAACAGGAAACACTATATTTCCATGTAGTCAATTTGCTTGATTGATGCATTCTAAGAGCAGTTGAGGTGAGCCTTTTTTGTAGAGTGACACACGCACACAGACGGTACATTACAGTAAAATTGTGTGTTTTGGGGGAGCACCTCCCTGTGTTAAAGTGTAAAGTTTCACTCCTGGTTTCTCCTCTGCAGCAGGGTGCTCAGCTCCATCTGGTTTTCCAAACACTCCTTCAGTTTGTCCTCTGTCAGAGTGAGGCGCTGCTCCAGGATCGAAACTGTCTGAAATGAAACAAAGACAGAAGAAAGTTGAATATATAGAAAAAGACAAACATGGAAGAATGAAGCCATAACACAATAGATCAGCATACTAATATTAAAAGGTCCTATATTACACAAAATTGACTCTTGTGAGCTTTAAGCTATGTTATTATGCAGTTACCTCTTCAAAAACAGATCTGGAGCGGTGCTTTGTTTCATTCACACATGTTTGAGTAATCCTTTATTTTTAGTGTACACATTTCCAAAGCTCAAGTGTCAGTTGTGTTTTGTTTCATTCACACAAACCCTGCAGATTGAAAGAAGAATTCTGCCTAAAACACTCCACCTTGTGATCTCATGAAGCGGTAGTTTTCAAATTAACAGCTACTTTTTACAAGAACTCTAAAGAGAAGAAGAGAAGAAGTCAAAATAGAAGTCTTATATATAAAAGTCTAGAATATATGTAAGTCTATGGGAGAAATGAGTGAGAAATATACTTCTGGGTCCTGAAGAGGTGGGCCGTCACTGTTGAGCTCCATTTGGGGAGATTCACCAGTGACCAGACTCTCATCTTGGTACAGTATTAGAGAAGTGTGTGTTCTGGATCCCTGGCAAACACCACAACAAAACCAGTCTTTTCCTAATTAAATTCAGTGATTTATTTGAACCATTACTTTAACACGCAAAAAGCCAGGACCTATCTCATGTAAACCTCGTACAGGATTTTCCCAGTGAAGTGGTCTTGAAGTAGTGCTGATGCTGAGATAAATGGGAATATATTGTGCAGTCTTTGTTCATGAGGGAGAGACTCAGGCCAGAGGAGCATATGTGAGGAGTCTGTGTAGTGTCAGAGTGACAGTAATGACCACAAGAGCTCTGTTAGACTGGCGTTATGGGTGTTCTGGGGTAAGGCTGAGCGATATGAGGCAAAAATGTAATATGTGAGAATAATATTAATACAATATTTGAAAATACTTTGACACAGTAAGTGCAAAAATGTACATGCCTTAAAATGACTTTAAAAAAAAAAAGTTTCTTAAGATGACCAAGTGTGTACAAAAATCAAGTAAAATTAAGTATGAGCACTGTACATGTTTTCATAATTCTACTTCACATGTCCAAATAACTAATACCATTTTCTTTCTCAAAATATTTTCTTTTATCTATAATTTCTTGTCTACTTTTTTATGTTTTCTGACTAAATTGTATTGTTTTGATACAGCAGCATGGGGAAAACAAAACTACAAAGAAAAAAATGAAAGAGAAAATGTTCAAGATTAAAGTAACCATTTAAATATTCATTGTACTTTTTGTTTGTTTTTCAAATACCCTAGCACTGTAGTCCAAGTGTTTTCCCATTCGTTTATGTGACTAAAAAGGGGGTGTGGCAAAAACGTACATATCTCTGTACTTGTCCCAAACTGCGCTCCCAAAGTTACATTGTGTCCTACTTTTATCTGCATAAATATTTGTTTATGCAGGAAAAGTAGGAAAACATGCATTTCTAAAAAGACAGATTAAACTTCATGAGTTCAATCTGCCTTTTTACATACAAATATCACAAAATGCCAAATCTTCAGCTCGGTCATCTCCTTTCTGCTTTGCCTTGTATAAATCTGTATGATCTAAATAAAATGATTAGTTGACTAAAGGCACACAGCCCTATATTTCTCAGGTGATTCATGTATAAACAGATGATTTTGTGCATGTAAATCAGATCAGATCGGGTTGTGTGGTTACTCTAGTTATCTGATTTCACTGACCATGTAAATGTATTCATAATGGATAATACTGAAACAGCTCTACACCTGTTACGATAATTACTATATTAAGACTTATCCTTCAATGAAAGCTGGGACAATACAACAATTACTGTGTGAAGATTGTCTTTGTACAAGTGGGGGTGCTATTTTTGATAGTACCATAACATTTGATTTGTAGAGGGTTGAATAAGTAACAATATCATCATCATCATTATCAGTGTTGAGAAGTAACTCAGTGCATGTGCTGAGAATGTGTACTGTGAATACTAATTCTAATTTTTTTTCCCGGTTACTTTTTTATTTGGTGTAATGCAGAATGAGGTTGCTTTTCTAAAATCAGAGGAATACATTGCATTACTTGACCATACAAGTGAGGCTTCAAACTGAATAAAAAAATAAATAAAATAAAAATAAATAAATGCCTGTTTTTCCTTCTCCTTTTAGTGATAGGAAATACAAATGATGAAACAAATATAAAGCTGTTTTTAATACTATGTTATTGCATCTTTATATTTTTTATGTATTCTTCTCTTCACTGGATATCATACATTTATAAAAGTTATTTTGTGATATAACAATATATCGCACTTGGAAATGTGACCGTCTTAATATCATACTGGGAAATGATGATCAAATCCATCCCTATCGACAATCTGAGTGATAAAGTGAGTGTAAGCACCGGCGTTGTGTCTTCCTGTGTCGTGCACAGTTGAATAAAAACATTTCGAGTTGAATGCTGTGGATACAAAGAGCTGCTGGTGTGAGTGGGCAGCAGGCGAGATCACAACAGAGTTTTCTGCTCAGTGGCAGTTTTTTGGTGGTGTTTCTGTCATGTGCAATTGAGGAGAAGTGTGCAATCTGTGCTCGGAGAAGAGGAGGAGGAGGAATGAAGATCAAGGAGCCGCTCAGGAAATGGCTCTTGGAGTTTGATCTTTTCTCGAGTATTTGTAGAGCTAAAGAGCTGCCGCCATGACGCATACAGTGGAAAGTAGAGTTGTCATGATGCCAAAATTTGAAACTTAAATTTGATTTGTAAAAGGTTTGATACTCTATTCCCACTTTGATGCAACAATCATAATTCAATAATAGAATTTAATGACTTGCAAAAATGTGTTATTTAAAGGCATCACCTATTTTTTACTGTTTTAAAAATGTGAAAAACAGACCACGTTGATTTGCAGTGGTCCAAAGTTATTCCTCACTTTCCTCTGTGAGCATTAACCAATCACGATGAAGCGTGAGCCCTCAGAAGAAGCAGATAGGACAGTTAAGAGAATGGTCACGTATTTTCCCAATATCACCGCCCTTATAGTTCAACAAGATAAAACAACACCATGAAACTAAGACTGTGCAATTAATCAAAGTTTAATCAAAACTGAGATTTAATCATTTTGTGTTGGCTGCTACAAAACCATGAAGGATTAGTTGGGGTGTTTTTATTAGGAGGTCCACAGCCAATCTTCTGTCAGACTTTGGCAGAAAAAACTGACTATAGATAAATGGCAACAATTAAGGTGGTCTTCTTTATGTTCAGGAAATGAATACTGAAAGCCATTTTTATTAGTTTAGTTATAAAAAAATATTAGAAATTGTAATCAAACAATATGAGGAAAACAATAGTGATACATTTTCTTTGTCATATAGCCCGGCCTGTCACAATAACAGATTTTGAAGAGCCATATATTGCAGAAGAAAAAATATAATGCTACTGATGCAATAGCCCTAAAGCAGGATTTCCCTCAAAAATGTAAATAAAACACTTAATGAGTCATAGAAGCTTATTCAACCCTCTACACCTCAAATCTTATCATAGTATGTAAATATAACAAAAAGTTCTCAGTTAGTACAAAGAAAAAGTACCCATGATAAATACTGACCCCTGAGAATAATTGTTCCCTCTCTCATTTATTGAAGAATGAGTCTAGGCCTGTCCCGATAACAAATTTTGAAGCACAATAAATTGAAATTGAAAGTTGAAATTAAACTGAAGAAATTATAGATGATAATATTGAAACTAATACATGCATCACGAATTTCGGACTTTTCAATCATTGTGAAATGCATAATGGGAAGGATTTTCCAAAAAAGTGAGCATCAAACCTCCATGTTTGATTTCCCAGTGGCATGCGTCTATTGACAAGCCGATCTTTTCAAATCTTTTAAACCATACCGCTTTTGTTTCTGGTTCTGATATTGTCATATTTTAGTTTTGGGATTCGGACATCGTAATTGTGTGGTTGTTGGATGTCCTAACAGCGGAAAATGGCTCGAGAAACAGGCTTCGGAAGTTTGCGAACTCCATAAATGCAAAGGGGAATCAGATCTGTGTGACTGCAAACCTCCGTTCAAACTGTTTCCCTTCCCAACGGAATTGAAAAATAGAGAAAGGCAAAGGCGATGGGCAGTACTGATACACAGGAAGGACCAAAAAGGAAACCTTTGGCTGCCTAAGAAATCATCCCGTGTTTGCAGCGAACATTTTGTATATGGAGCGCTCAACCTTGGTTATGAATTTAAAAAGTCAACGCCAAAGCAAAAGGCACCAGCTGTTCGCTAAGAAACACCTTCCACTGCAAAGCGACTAAGACGTGATGTTGCTGTAAAGCCACAAGAACAACAAAGTGCAAGCTCGGCCTGTTTGTCTTTTGTACCTCTCACTTAACAAACGGGATCCCGCTTTGATGATGCTCCACATACAAAATGTTCGCTGCAAACCCGGGATGATTTCTTAGGCAGTCAAAGGTTTCCTTTTGGGTCCTTCCTGTGGATCAATAATGCCCATCGCCTTCACCTTTCTCCATTTTTCAATTCCGTTGGGAAGGGAAACAGAGGTTTGCAGTCACACAGATCCGATTCCCTTTTGCATTTATGGAGTTCACAAACAAATTTCTCGAGCCGTTTTCCGCTGTTAGGACATCCAACAAACACACAGTTATGATGCCTGAATCTCAAAACTAAAATATGACAATATCAGAACCAGAAACAAAAGTGATATGGTTCAAAAGACTAGAAAAGACTGGCTTTGTCAATAGACACATCCCACAGTGAAATGAAACATGCCGGTTTGATGCTCACTTTTTCGGAAAATCCTTCCCAGTATGCATTGCACAATGACCGGAAGTCAAAAAATCGTGATGCGTGTTTTTATGTCACTGACACAAAAATGCAAAAGCAGATTTAAGATACAAAAACAATTCTAAATGTACAATACCTTTGTAAGCACACTAGTAGTTTATGTGCATCTGTAATGAGTCATAC